GTTAGCTTGGTTCAACAACGACATGCGTATCAAGTATGAAAGGACTTGTCAACGATCAATTAAAATAATTAGCATAGAAAAAACTTTCGCACTCGATAAGTCTGCACAGAAAAAACTTTTTTTACCTGGAATTTTTTTAAAAGAAAGCTCTTGATTAGCTCTACTTAATCATTTAAAAATTGCAAATTTCAAAAAATTATGATTTTTTACCCTGGATGATACCTTAAGGTAATTTACAGTTGCGAGCTCGGTATTGAACTATTTTTAACTTCTTAACACAAGGCGGAAATTTAAAGTAGTTGCGCAGAGTGTTTTGACGCCAATTTTAAGCACACACAGAGTTCCGCAGAGTGTTTCCCACAAGTTCTATCTTAAACAGCAAATCGAAGTTCCTTGAATACTATTGACCACACAAACCAATTTAGATAAATTTACAGTTGCTCTCCCTTTTTCGTACACAAGCTTTAGGTCAGACTGTGAGAATATTTAGTCAGGTTGTTGTTTTATTCATGTTTTTCATAAAAGACGCTAATTTCTAGCAATTCGTTGTTGCGCACACTGTTCTGCTGAAATATGGCAAATTTGAAGATGTGTCCACGTTTCTGACATAAGAAGCCAATTTAAGAAAGTTTACTCAAAATGGGAACTTTCAAGATGTCTGCCCGTTTCTGACCAAAGAAGCCCATTTAACTAAATTTACAGTTGCGCGCTCTGTTTTGAACAATTTCTTGTTTTTTAACAATAGTCGCCCATTTCAAGCAAAACGACAGTTGCACAATGTGATTTACGGCCTGTTTCAAATAACAGCACAGTTGCGCACGCTGTTTTGCAAAATTTTTTATCTAAAACAGCAAATCGATTTTCCTTGGGTATTATAGACCACACACACCAATTTAGGTAAATTTACAGTTCTGCGCCCTTTGCCGCGCAAGCTTCAGGTCAAACAGTGAGAATATTTTGTCAGGTTTTTTAACAAAAGACAATAATTTTAACGCCTTAAAATTTTGTTTGGTAAAGTGAGAAATGGATGAAAAGCGGACAATATTGACGTTAAAATATTTTCACCCGAGAGCTTAAATTACCCGCCTTTTTTTCTAAAAGAGTACGTTTTTTAAACTTTTCACCTGATCGACCAGTATTAACAAAAAAGGCAACAATTGTGCATGTTGTTCTATGCAAAATTAAATGCAGTTGCGCACAGTTTTTTGCACAAGTTTCAGCTTTTTAACAATACGGGCAAATTGGAAGCCAATTCAAGTAAATTTACAGTTAAAGTTCCTTGAATACTATTGACCACACAAACCAATTTAGATAAATTTACAGTTGCTCTGCCTTTTTTGTACACAAGCTTTAGGTTAAACTGTGAGAATATTTAGTCAGGTTGTTGTTTTCTTCACCTTTTTCATAAAAGACGCTTATTTCTAGAAATTCGTAGTTGCGCACACTGCTTTGCAGAAAAATAGCAAATTTAAAGATGTCTTCTCATTTCTGACCTAACGAGCCTATTTAGGCAAATTTACAATTGCACCCCCTTTTTTGCACAATTTTTAGCTTTCTTACACATGGCACTAATTTCTAGCAAAACGACAATTGCGCAGAGTGTTTTAACGCCAATTTGAGCAACAGCACCTTTGCGCACGCTGTATTGCACAAGCTTAATCGAAAACGACATTTCAAAGATGTCCACACGTTTTTGACTTTTCTCCAATTTCGAGCAACAGGACAGTGGCGCACGGTGTTTGGCACAGGTTTTAGCTTCCTAACAATACGGGCCAATTTAAAGCAAAACGACAGTTGCGCAGTGTGATTTGGGACCAATTTGGAGCAAGACACAGGTGGACATGCTGTTTTCCACAAGTTTTATCTCCAACAGCAAATCCAGGTGTCTTGGATATTATTTACCCGACACTCCAATTTAGGTATATTTACAGTTGTGCGCTCTTTGTCGCGCAAGGTTTAGGTCAAACAGTAAGAATATTTTTTCAGTTTGTTGTTTTCTTTACTTTTTTGGACAGAAGACGCAAATTTTTAGCAATTCGTTGTTGCACACACTATTTTCCACAAATCTGCCAAATTTGATGAAGTTTCCACATTTCTGACCTAACAAGCCAGTTAAGGAAAACATACACAAAAATGGCAAATTTCAAGATGTCTGCACCTTTTTGTCCTAACAAGCCCTTTTAAGTAAATTTACAGTGACGCACGCTGTTTTGAACAATTTATACCTTTTTAAGAAAAGTCGCCAAATATCAGCCAAACGACAGTTGCGCAGAGTGTTTTGACGCCAATTTCGACCAAAAAGTTTAGCTTATTAACTAGAGGCGGAAATTTGAAGCAAATAGACAGTTGCGCAGTGTGGTTTCCGCAGTGTGATTTGGAGCAACAACACAGCTGTTTGAAGGAAAACGACAGTTACGAATTGCAATTTGGGGCCAATTTCAATCAACAGCACAGTTGCGCACGCTGTTTTCAACAAGCATTATCTAAAACAGCAAATCGAAGTTTCTTGGATATTATTGACCACACAAACCAATTAAGGTAAATTTACAGTTGCCCTCCCTTTTTGTACACAAACTTTGGGTCACACTGTGAGAATATTTATCAGGTTGTTGTTTTCTTCACCTTTTTCACAAAAGACGCTAATTTCTAGAAATTTTTTCTTGCTCACACTGTTTTGCACATATATAGCAAAGTTGAAAATGTCTAAAATGGAAAATTAAAAGACATCTTCACATTTCTAACCTAACAAGCCCATTTAGGCAAATTTACAGTTGCGCTTTCTGTTTTGCACTATTTTCAGCTTTCTTACACACGGCGCCAATTTCAAGCAAGACGACAGTTGCGCAGAGTGTTTTAACGCCAATTTCGAGCAACAGCACAGTTGCGCAAGTCAAGTCAAGTCAAGTCAAGTCAAGTCAATCTTTATTTAAACACGGTAAAATCCATCAGGAATTTAAAAAAAAAAAAAAAAAATTAAAAATAACCTAACTATCCTAAACAAAATTCAAAACCTGACTACAACTAATCTAACTAAAACCTGTTTTTCATGAATGCCGTGTATAACATTAAAAATGAACATTAACTAATCTTTTAAATTGACTAAGAGATTCGGCTTCTCTCACATGACAGGGTAGGCTGTTCCAGAGAACTGCTCCGCTATAAGTAAAGCTGTTTTTCATGAAATTAGTTCGCGGAAATGGGACAAATAGTTTGTTAACAGAGTCCCTCAGGGAGTAACGCGTTTCATTTCGTTTAACAAACTTAGATGATAAATATTCAGGAACAAGGCCATTTAAAGACTTGTATACCATTATGGATTTCTGTATTTGAAATTGAGTGCTCAAGTCTTTCCAATCGAGTTGTCTAATCAAACGGTTAGCATCAGCATCATAGCTAGAGAAGGTTAAAACGCGAGCGGCACGGTTCTGAAGCTTCTGTAGCCTGTCAAATAATGTTTTACCACAATTACCCCAGACAAGATTGCAATAATCGAAATGAGATTGAATTAGTGAGTTGTATATATAGTGAAGGGTAGGTGGAGGGACAAAAGGTCTAATTCTTTTTATTGCTCCAATTCCGGAAGCGACCTTTTTAGATAATTTATCAATGTGTGTTTGCCACCGTAGATTTTCATCAATAAATATTCCAAGCGATTTGACAGAGGAAACGTGTTCTATCGGAACATTATTAATCGAGAGCTCAAGTGGGTTCGACAAAGTACTCAATTTTTGTCTGGAGCCAATTAGCATGAATTCAGTTTTAGAAGTGTTCAAAGTAAGTTTATTGGAAATAAGCCATTTGTTTAGGTTATCTAAATCGTGACTCAGAGTTAACTGTATTGAATTCACATCAACGCCAGCATAAGTAATGTGGGTGTCATCGGCATACATTCTAGGCTGGCACGAAGTAAGGCAGTTAGGCAAGTCATTAATATAAATAAGAAATAAAAGGGGGCCAAGGATTGTTCCTTGCGGTACCCCACATTTAAGAGAGCAGATTCTAGAAAGAGAACCGTTAACAAGACATCGTTGTGTACGATTAGTTAAATACGACCTAAACCAATCAAGAGCTGTACCTTGTATTCCGTAAAGGTTCATTTTAGCTAGAAGGATATCGTGGTCAACGGTGTCGAAAGCCTTTTTTAAATCGAGGAAAACCACAGCATTAACATTGCCACGATCAATATTAAAGGCCCAATTATCCGTAGCTTCCAGAAGGGCAGTTGCAGTTGAGTGTAACGAGCGAAAACCCGATTGATGATTAGAAATGATATCTTCATTGGTCAAAAAGTTATACAACTGATCATAAACAATCCTTTCAAACACTTTAGCTATAACGGAAATGACTGAAATAGGTCGATAATTATTCAGATCAGATGGCTCACCTTCCTTGAACAACGGAGTAACTCTAGCACATTTCCAATCATCAGGAAATATACCAGAGACTAAAGATTTATTAAAGAGATCACATAGTGAAACTGAAATAAGATCAGCACATTCACGTACAATTTTAGCAGAAATATTATCAAGACCAGTTGCTTTAGATCTACATAATTTGTTTAGATGTGAGAAAACAATGCTGCAGTTAGTCGAGGAGAAGCTGAAATTGTTGTTATTTACCTTTATATTATTGATATAACTTGAATTATTTTCAGCAGTTAGAGGTATTTCATTAGCAAGTCTGGGCCCAATTGTTGAAAAATGGTCATTAAAAGCATCAGAAAGCTCACTAGAATTAGAGATAATGGTATCATTCAATTTCAGTTCTTTCACCGTTGTATTATTCACACGACGGGATGTAAGCTCATTAAAGGTTTGCCACGTTTTTCGAGGATTACCCTTAGATTGAATAAATGCATTAGAATAATAAGATGCTTTAGAAATTTTGATGTCATTGTTTATTATATTTCGCAACTTTTTGTACCTTTTCCAATCGTGTGGATCATTCGATGTAATTGCTTTTCTTTTGGCAGCATCACGATCACGCATGCCTTTCTTTAATTCTGAATTGATCCAGGGTGCTTTATTTGTTCTAGTACGTCTAGTTCGGAGTGGCGCATGAATATTAACAATATCCAAAAACTTCGTTTTCCAGTCAGACCACAAAACATTTGGATCTTCAGAAACATTACAGGACCAGTCTTGCTGAGCGATATCGTTACGAAAACTCTCTCTATTAAAATTTTGGAAATTTCTATAAGAAATGGTTGAGTGCCCTTTTGAAGGAAAAGTGAGAGATAATTTCCTATAAACGTAAATAAGGCTATGATCGCTGATACCAATATGAGAGACTCCGGAACAGACTACCCTGTCAGTATAGTTTGTATAAATTAAATCAATTAATGTTGAAGAGGATTCCGTTATGCGAGTAGGTTCAGTTATAAGCTGTTGAAGCCCAAATAAATCAGAAATTTCACATAAGCGTCGAGTATTTAAATCATATTGTGCAGAGGCCAGGTTACAGTTTAAATCACCTAGCAGATAATATTCTAGGCCGAGGGAATCTAATTTCTCAAGAAATGATTCGTAATGTAAAAATAAATCAATTGAGGAGCAAGGAGGTCTGTACCAAGCGGCTATTAGAAATGGCCTGGAGTTTGGTTTCCGAATCTCTATACATAAATTTTCAAGACTGGGTGCATTCAAATCAGAGCGAACTCCAAAATTAATCGAGGTTTTTATATAAAAACCTACTCCTCCTCCTTGTCTGTTTCTATCACGACGAATAAATTCATAGCCTGGTATTTGGACCTCACAACTATTGATAGAGTCATCAAGTTTAGTTTCATTAATTGAGAGAATATCAATGGAGCGATCGGCAAGGAGAATTCTTAGTTCATCAATATGCTTTGTAAGACTATTAATGTTTAAACCTGCAATTTTAAAACCACGACCAGAAGGAAGAAAATCAGAGAGAATTGTACTTTCAAATGAATCAACGTTTTGATTAGGAATACCTGATGATACGTCACTCGGTTGAGAAGCTAGCGTGGGCGTCTCCTGTTGCGAGCTGGAGAGGGAAGGTTTCCCAGTTCCATCAGAAGCTTTACCAGTTGTTGGATAGCTGAGGACTGAAAACCCTTAAGAGACTGATTATACTTGCCAGAACCAGATCTTAAAAACTTAATAAATTGCACGGCCAGCAATGACGAACCTTTGGCATTCAGATGAAGTCTACTACCATTTAATGCTGAGGCGTCAATAACCGAATTATCAATATAAGTAAAGTTATCATCTACTGCTGTGAGCTTGACCCTCTCATTAACTTCAATGCGTTTAGCATCGACGTTGATATCTTCTCTGTAGACTATACCCGAGAGACCAATGCTTGAGTTAGGAAACTTGCTCTTCACCTTCAATACAAGGCTCTTGATATCGGCGACACATGAATCGGCAGACTCCGATGGAAGATTGTTAGTGCCAGTATGGATGATGACGTGAGAAGGATCCGCGGATGCAACAGCGATGTTGTCAACAGCTTCAGCTATTTCAGCAGTGGTTTTCCCGGGATATGAGAATTTATGTACATGTCTTTGCGAAAGCTTTTTTGGATCAATGTGTTTTATCATTGAGTCACCAATAAGCACTATGGGTCTTGTCTTTCCGACTTCACCGCTTTTGGAGTTATTTGCACTAACTCGAGAGGTATTTGCGTGCGCTCCAGACTGATGCAGTGGCATCTCAGAGGATACTTGACTCGAAGGAGAAGAGACAAGTAAGGCCTGATAGCGGTTATGACTAGTTGGAATTGAATCAAATGCCCGGCTCGCTTCAGATGAATCAACATGTGAATGTTGCTGTTGCTGTTGTTGGCGACTTTCTTCGTTATTTGCAGTATAGTTGTCCTCATTTCTCACTTGGAATTGTACCTCACTTCTAAGGGGCTCAAATCTGTTCTGAGTTTCTATATTGCAGGCAGCCAACAGCCGCTGGATATGTTTATCATTCACACTTTTCCCAAGTGTGCCCACTTGGGACCAACAATCACATATCTTTTGTTGGCGGCATTCGCCCTCGCTTCTTTCTTGCATAATGATCTTCATAGCCAGCTTAAGAGAATCATTTTCTTGTTGCAAGGACAAAACTTGGCTCTCATAGGAAAAACACTTTTCCTCCAACACCTCAATTTCATTATCTTTTTTTTAGATAATGTCGATAACACCTTCTCATACCTCTCTTTGTAATCGAGGAGCTCGGCGCTAAAAGCGGTTTCTTGTGATTTGCATTTCGTCGACAGAAGGCTTGTATTTGCTTCAACCTTTTTCTGAAGAATTAGTAAATCCAGTTTTAAGCCCTCAATATCAGCACTGATAACCGAGTTCGATCGCTCTTGAATACTGTTCTCAAGTCCGGCGTCGGCGGCCGAAGCTAGTCGATTACTGCAGATGCCATTGGCTTCTTGCGAAGGCGGAATTTCTTGCTCGGTTGTTGAAGCATCCGAGACAGGCGTATCAGCTTCTGTTCCCTGTTTATTTTGAATAAACTTGACCAACTTGTCCTTTAAGGAGGGACCATCTCGACCTTGGAAACAAAGGGTTAGCTGTTTCTTATTATACCAGTTGATGACGAGATTATTGTTAGAACTTTTGAATTGCTTTACGTTTCCTCCGGGCGACGACCACTTTCCTTGTAGTTTCAAGCCATTTTCCACAAAATTCTTTAACGATTCAAGGTTATTCGTCCACGTTAATCGTTCCCCGTTTAGCTTAAGGGATTGTAATTCGCACCATTTAAGGTTAAGCTGGTAAGACTCGGTATCTTTCGTCAAAACGGGACCAGAAGGTTCACGTCCGTCCGCCATGACAAGTCAATCGTTGAAGGGTTAAGCACAAGCTAAGCTGTTTTGCACAAGGCTAATCGAAAACCACATTTCAAAGCTCCCCGCACGTTTTTGACTTTTCTCCAATTTCGAGCAACAGGACCGTGGCGCACGGTGTTTGGCACAGGTTTTAGCTTCTTAACAATACGGGCCAATTTGTCAGGTTGTTGTTTTCTTCAAGTTTTTGCACAATTTTTACCTCTTTAACACAAGGCGCCAATTCCAAGCAAAGCGACAGTTGCACAGATTGTTTTGACGCCAATTTCGACCAAAAAAACAACAGTTGGCAGTGTGATTTGGGCCAATTTAAAACGACAGCACAGTTGCACAAGCTTTTTTGCACAAGTTGTATCTAAAACAGCAAATGGAAGTTCTTTGGATATTATAGACCACACACACCAAATTAGGTAAATTTATAGTTGCGCGCCCTTTGTAGCGCAATCTTCAAGTCAAACAGAGAGAATATTTTGTCAGTTTGTTGTTTTCTTCACGTTTTTGAGAAAAGAATAATTTTAAGCAATTCGTAGTTGAGCGCATTGTTTTGCACAAAAATGGCTAATTCAAAAATAGCCTGCACGTTTCTAACCTTTTAAGGCAGTTTATGTAAATTTACGGTTGCGCGGAGTTTTTTCCCACAAGCTTGCGGTCAAACAGTACGAATTTTTTGCCAGGTTGTTGTTTTCTTCACGTTTTTGCCAAAGACGCTAATTTTTAACAATTCGTAGTTGCGCAGACTGCTTCGCCCAAATATGGCAAATTTGAACATGTCTGCATGTTTCTGACCTAACAAGGCAATTTAGAGAAAATTTACTTTTGCGCATCCTTTTTTCCATAAATTTTAGCTTTTTAATACAACGTAAATTAACAGTTGCGCGCCGTTTTTCGCGCAAGCTTTGGGTTAAACAGTGAGAATATTTTGACAGGTTGTTGTTTTCTTCACGTTTTTGACAAAAGAGAATAATTTTAAGCAATTCGTAGTTGCGCACATTGTTTTCCAAAAAAAAGGCTAATTTGAAGATGTCTGCACGTATTTGACTTATCAAGGTAATTTACTTAAATTTACAGTTGCGCGGCTTTTTTTCGCACAATCTTTAGGTCCAACGGTAAGAATTTTTTGTCAGGTTGTTGTTTTCTTCGCGTTTTTGAAAAAAGAGAATAATTTTAAGCGATTCGTAGTTGCGGACACCGTTTTGAACAAAAATGGGAAATTTGAAGATGTCTGCATGTTTCTGAGCTTAGAAGCCAATTCAAGTAAATTTACAGTTAAAGTTCCTTGAATACTATTGACCACACAAACCAATTTAGATAAATTTACAGTTGCTCTCCCTTTTTTGTACACAAGCTTTAGGTTAGACTGTGAGAAGATTTAGTCAGGTTGTTGTTTTATTCACCTTTTTTTATAAAAGACGCTAATTTCTAGCAATTCGTTGTTGAGCACACCGTTTTGCTGAAATATGGCAAATTTGAAGATGTGTCCACGTTTCTGACATAAGAAGCCAATTTAAGAAAATTTGCTCAAACTGGGAACTTTCAAGATGTCTGCCCGTTTCTGACCAAAGAAGCCCATTTAACTAAATTTACAGTTGCACGCTCTGTTTTGATCAATTTCTTGTTTTTTAACAATAGTCGCCCATTTTAAGCAAAACGACAGTTGCACAATGTGATTTGGGGCCAGTTTCAAATAACACCACAGTTGCGCACGCTGTTTTGCAAAAATTGTTATCTAAAACAGCAAATCGATTTTCCTTGGGTATTATAGACCACACACACCAATTTATGTAAATTTACAGTTGCGCGGCGTTTTTTCCCACAAGCTTTCGGTCAAACGGTAAGTATTATTTGCCAGGTTGTGGTTTTCTTCATGTTTTTGACAAATGACAATAATTTGTAGCAATTCGTAGTTTTCGTAATGCACAAAAATAGCAAATTTGAAGATGTCTTCATGTTTTTGATCTAACAAGCCAATTTAAATAAATTTACAGTTGCGCACGCTGTTTTGCACAAGTTTTAGCTTTCTAACACAAGGCGTAAATTTTAAGCCAAACGACAGTTGCGGCGAGGGTTTTTGACGCCAATTTTAAGGAAAACCACAGCTGCGCAGAGTGTTTCGCACACGTTTTTTCTCAAACAGCAAATCGAAGTTCCTTAGATATTATTGACCAAACAAACCCTCCTTTTACACAAAAAACTCCAATTTCTAGCATTTCGTTGTTGCGCACACTGTTTTGCACAAAGATCGCAAATTTGAAGATGTCTCCACGTTTCTGACCTAACAAGCCAATTTACGAAAACTTACACAAAAATAACAAATTTCAAGATGTCTGCATGTTTCTGACCTAACAAGCCCATTTAAGTAAATTTACAAATGCGTGCGTTGTTTTGAATTATTTCTTGATTTTTAACAAAAGTTGCCCATTTGAAGCAAAACGACAGTTGCGAAGAGTAAATTGACTCACGCTATTTTGCACAAATTTGATTTAAAACAGCACACCGAAGTTCCTTGGATATTATTCACCAAACAAACCAATTTAGGTAAATTTACAGTTGTGTGCCCTTTTTCGCACAAGCTTTACGTTACACAGTGAGAATATTTTTTCAGGTTGTGTTTTGTTTTTTGTTTTTCAGGTTTTTGACAAAAGACGCAAATTTCTAGCAATTCGGATTTGCGCACACTGTTTTATACAAATCTCGCAAATTTAAAGATGTCTGCCACGTTTCTGACCTAACAAGCCAATGTAGGAAACTTTACACAAAAATGGCAAGTATCAAGATGTCTGCACGTTTCTGTCCTAACAAGCCTATTTAGTTAAATGTACAGTTGTGCGCGGCGTTTTGAACAATTTTTATCTTTCTAAAAAAAGTTGCCAATTTCAAGAGAAACGACAGCTGCGCTGAGTGTTTTGAAGCCAATTTCGACCACAAGGTTGAGCTTTTTAACTAGAGGCGCCAATTTAAGGCAAATTGACCGTT